TTGACGTTTGAACATATAAACTATATATGTAAATGAATACATTTATTGTGCAGTATTATCTAACTTGTCTTTAACAACGATGAACATACACACACAGTATTTTAAAGTGCAAATGTACGCAAGAGTAACCGTGATTTGATCCGTGAGTCTCAGCCCGGGAAAAACAACGGACTTGTACACAAAACCACCGCTGTCACATGATCATAATAACGGTTTATGGGTGAGATCGCGTCAATAGAAATGTGTCGTCAAACTCACCACCACCCGACACAGACAATCAGTAAGGTTTGTGGCGTTCACAAAAATGCCACTTCGGGTGATTAGCAATTATTTCTGTGTCACACAGGGCGGGATCGTGGTGCCCCTCGTGTGCTCACAAGTATGTTAACGTTCGGTTTCCATGGACAAGCGTGACATTTTTTCTAAAGTTCGTAATTGAGTGCACTGGAACTGTTTGTTTATTTGTAAAGAGATTTTAATTTTTATTTCGACATTATTGCAATTTTTTATGGTGTTAAAAAAAACATTTTTATCGGGTAATATTTGGATTACTGTGACTCGAATTGGGACAATACGATCATTTATTTGGCGTATTCTTCCATACATTGATATTCTTATCGTTTTTTAGAGTCCAGGCATGTTAGCTAATAACACGTCGGTAACTGGGCTGTTTAAGCCATCGGTGACACAGATAGCATGTCCACATTCATCACTTTCAGAATGTTGACACAATTATACCATGAATAATATGGCTGTGTTTAACTCGTAAACAGAAATTAGGAGAGCCTTGACCATGAGTTCTAGTCCTGGCTGCGCCCAAAGAAGTCAGGCCTCTTATGACACACAACCAAACCTGTCAACCCCTTGTCAGTGCCTACCTCATTACAGACCAATTCCGACCTTATTGGTCACCCCGTGCCCTTATAAATCCCAACGTTCATCCTACAATGTCAAATCACAAGGGACAAACACAAACAAATAGATTTTAAAAATGTGCCCGTTTTGAAACGGCAGTAGGCCGTATGGACCTGAAAACTCAATTTCCCTGTACAAGAATACGGGCAACCGTATGTGTTGACAGGTATGTAGAACTAAAACTAAACTATTTTTTTTATTTTAGCAGCTAAACCCCACTGAGCTATACAGATCTTTTTCAGAAGTGACCTGGTTATCTCAAATGATAACTCGACGAAGTGGCTTATCATTATGTGGACACATGTAGTGACGTATATTGGGTCACTACGGTATTAGCGCCAGCTACTGACAGGAGAATGGAACTGCAAGTCTTAGAGCCTCTCTCTGACACCAGAGTATGTTATGGCATGGAAGGGGGCCCTAAGGGACATGACCCTGGTGACTGTCAGAGAGAAGGCAGTTGAGGACGTGACAGTCTGGTTGAACCCGAGAGGGCATGTAACCAGGGCAGGGTAAGAATGTGGGCCAGAGGTGGCGAGAGAGACACGCAGTGTATGGGCCAGAGCCTTCTGGGAGGATCCAGAAAAAGGCGTGGGCGAGGGCGGAGCCAGGTCACACTCAGGGGCATAAAAGGGAGGTCCCGAGAGCCGATCAGGGCTTCATATTATTTGGGTCTTTCGGTAAAGTCACGTAGATAGGTTCGAAGTCACGTAGATAGGTTCAAAGAAAACCTATCTACGTGACTTTACCGAAAGACCCAAAGAATATGAATTCCTGCAGTCACGAAAGCTTTAAGTCAAGATCCGATCAGGGCCGTCTTGTGGAATGGAATACGCCGGGCTACGTCTCTTCAATCTCCGGGCTTCGGTCCTCACGTTCGGCATCGTGGGTCAGGCAGTGTGTTACTGACCTGACCCGGTTATGAAGTTACCCCATTGTGGTCTAGTTAACCGTGGTAGTTACCACCTATATCGTCATCCCGTGTATGTTTGCGTAGTTACCCCGTTGTGGTCTTAGAATAAACGTGTTGCCTCCAAAGTCAAGTGCGTGTCTCCAGTGAAACCACTACACTTGTTTAGCAGCCAAATATTCTAAACGCGTGATGTTGATTCTAAATGTGGAGGGAAAAACCGGAAGACCGGGACAAAAATCCCCGCGACTACGGGAAGAGAGAAACGCAAATTCCAAATATACAGCAGCAGGCGTCAGGGTCGGGAACGAACCCACGACCTCCTGCGTACCAGGCGAGGTAGTTAACATCTCATAGCCACCGTGATGATGATGAGAGAGAGACACGCAAGCTCCAAATATACAGCAGCAGGCGTCAGGGTCTGGATCGAACCCACACACCTCCTGCATACCAGGCGAGGTAGTTAACATCTCATAGCCACCGTGATGATGATGAGAGAGAGACACGTAAACTCCAAATATACAGCAGCAGGCGTCAGGGCCGGGAACGAACCCACGACCTCCCGCATACCAGGCGAGGTAGTTAACATCTCATAGCCACCGTGATGATGATGAGAGAGAGACACGCAAGCTCCAAATATACAGCAGCAGGCGTCAGGGTTGGGATCGAACCCACACACCTCCTGCATACCAGGCGAGGTAGTTAACATCTCATAGCCACCGTGATGATGATGAGAGAGAGAGAGACACGTAAACTCCAAATATACAGCAGCAGGCGTCAGGATCGGGAACGAACCCACGACCTCCTGCACACCAGGCGAGGTAGTGAACGTCTCGCCACGTTGAGTTAACCGGCCAGAGACTTTCACAGCTGTTGTACACAGGTGGCTCTGTTTCTCGTCTCTGATCAACGTGGCACGAGATGATTTGCCCACCAGCCAGCAAAACTTGTTTTTCTTTAACACAAAGTGAAAGTTAACAATGCACGTTAAGGATCTCATCACGTTTCGAATCGCAACGAGTAATTGCATACGGGGGGTGGTGAATCGGCATCACAAATGGTGAACACTGGTGGGATCGGTCGTCCCCCAACCCATCCCCCATGGGTGGATTTCATCCAGCAGTGGATCCATCTTGGTTGCTGCTGATGATCGTGATGATCGTGATGATGACGACGAAACGTGGGTGTATTGCGCCCCCACGTGGCGAGTTTGAACATTGACACATCTCCTCATCCACAATCAAATACTGGAATACGGATTTAGGATAGATTTTGTTATTCATATCAATGTACGTTAAATCAAACCGTTTCCACAACCACGATGTTTAAATATATATTATACTGTGCACAACATCTTCCGATAATTTGGTACAGAGACCATCTTCTATCTAAATTGGGATTGAAGCTCACAGAAAATGGGTAAACCCAACACATTTGCAAATACCCATGTCCTGAAAGGGTGAATAAAACAATATGCAATAGGCCGACGTTTCTGGCAATGGCCCTTCTTTAAAGCAGAGAGACGGTCTCTCCGCTGAGTTTTTTTGTGTGATGTATCCTTCTGCACCACTGCCAACGCAAAAACAAGAAGTACAAGTTAAATTCCCCACTCCAAAATAATAATCTATGGGTTTGAACACAATTCCATTGTTGGGCACCGCTGCAGTACGTACTTCAGTCTCATGCATTGGTATTTGTACAACAGAGATGGAAATACTAGCGCTAATAATAATAATACTTCTACTACAGATGGTAAACATTTTTTTATGAATGTTTAGATTTTCTTTAAAAAATGTTGGAAAATATTTTCCAAGACAAAGAGCGCGATTACCAATCAGCATTCGACAGAGTCACGCTAAGCGAGGTCTGCATAATAGGGTCTACAATTATTTGTAATATATAATAGTGGTGACCTTTGGCGGTGTAACTTTTTACCACGTTTTTATTTTGAACCTATCTGCCTTTTGACTTTACAGACCAATATTCCCCATGCTGTTGTATCCTTGAATGATTGAGAGCTCACATTCTCTGTCCTGTCTCTCTCCAAACAACACCACCACCACCACCAATACCACCACGCTCACAAAACACACACACACACAGAATGTAACTGGTATCGGCAAAACATGAGCAATAACTGATTGATCTCGTCAACCGTCATCACGCGATTTTGATTGGTCATCGAACAAAGGCGGCGGTCATCGCGCGGCGCTTTCACATGCGCTTCTGCGGCCGTCTGGAACGCTCCTCTTACCGATATTTGAAAGCCCCTGGAGCTGCGCTCTTTTCAATCATCCAGATTGCAAACGAACTTCTTTAGAACAGATTTTTGTGTTCAGTTTTTGTCGTCCTTCCCCCGCACCGCCGCTCAGCGCGGTTGGCTACGCACGGTGCGAAAGAAGTTCAACATCCATACAATACAATGGTGATGGGGGACAACAACACAACTACACCTATTCTTGGTTCTTTCTATAAAGTTACGTAGAAGGGAAACAATTAAATAATAAAACTACAAAGCAATAAAATTCTTGCGACGTTTCGACTGCAACACAAGCAATCATCATCAGGTGATGATGATTGCTTGCGTTGCAGGTGATGATTGCTTGTGTTGCAGTCGAAACGTCGTGAGAATTTGATTGTTTTATATTTTTATTATTTTATTGTTTCCCTTCTACGTGACTTTACCGAAAGAACCAAGAATATGAATCCCTGTAGTCACGAAAGCTTTAAATCACAACTACACCTTTATATTATTCTCTCAGTGGGTTTACACGAAGCAATATCGCCCCCTATTGGGAAAAAAAACCTGGCAGGATCGTCCCTGCAAAACGTCTCAAGTGTGGCCTGCCTGGGTTAAACAGAGTTGTTAATAACTCTCTCTCTCCTGCACTCTCTCCATCCCTCCCACCATCCCTCTCCTCTCTCTACCCCCCCCCACGCCAACCAACCAACCATCCCCCTCCACCCTCTTGCCCTGTCACCAAAATACAACGTTGCCGCGGGACGAGAGAAAGAGTAACTGTGAACAGCTGTTTCCGGATCGAGTCGGGAGCGAAGTGTGAACCGTGGAATGGGGGGGTCTCTGCGTGCGGCGATAGCGGTGGTTGTGGTGGTGGCGGTGGTGGTGGCGTGGATGGTTGTGGCGTGAGACTGGCGTCGTGGAGAGGGTGAGGGGCTGGGGTGAGGGGGTGGGAGGAGCTGTGACCGATATGAGATAGGAAGGAGCAGGAGGGATGTGGGGAGGAGGTGGGGGGCGAGTGCTTTCGGTGGCGTTTGGGAGTGAGTGAGTAGCGACAGAGAGATGGAATGGACCCGATCATCGCAGAGGGCCCTGTCCGCGTGAGAGACGCCAAGAAGGTATGGACCAATAACCACCACCAGCATCACAGACATGAACAATAACGACAATCGCCATTCGTCACTGAGTGGCGGTGACGACACCACGGCGCTCGTGCCAGGCTATGTGCACGTTAAGAGCTCACATCGCCACCAACATCACCGTCAGGATCAGCAGCATCGCAGCGACTTTTTGGCACGGCCATCATCATCATCGCGCTGCGCTTTCAGGTGTGCTTCTGCGGCCGTCTGGAACGCTCTTCCCTTCCGATATTCGGAATACACTGGAGCTGTGCACTTTTAAATCGTCGGCTAGATTGACAAACTGATTTTTTTTTATTAGAACCGCTTTTTAGTGTGTAGTTTGTCGTCCTTCCCCCGCACCTCCGATAATCGCGGTTTGGCTACGTACGGTGCGAAAGAAGTTCAACGTATCATCATCATCAACAGCGAGATCAATTGTTGTCATCATCATCATCGGCATCAGTGGTAACATCGTGAACAGCACAGAGAGTGCTTGCTGTCCGTACTTTCCCAACTCAACCCTCTGGAATGGTGCTGGTGGCCATGAGTGTGTTTGAGATGTTCTATATCCATTTGCCTGTAGCTGTGCGTGTGTGGCCCTGTGTGACTATGGTGTGTTTGTGTGTTCCGAGTCATTTACTTACACGTACAAAAACAACATGTTTACCACGTGTGTGTGTGTGTGTCTGGACTAGCGTTGATAGTGTATGTCAGTAGGGTACAGTAATGATTATTTTGGTTCAGGGTATTTCGGGTTGTGTTATTGGTTCGTGTCGCCTGCTAATGATTTCTGTGTATGCGTGTGTGTGTGTGTTTATATCACAGCCTCAATTGAGTTAACCAGTGCGATGTGTTAAAACATCGCCACTAGGGAGACAAAGACGGCCGGGCGCGGTGCTGGCCACCCACCCTCTCGTGTGCTGTCCCGGCCTTCATAGGTGCTCGCTAACAGCACTTGCCCCTACAGTGTCAGTCATCTCAGTCTGTCAGTCATCTCAGTCTGTCAGTCAGTCATCTCAGTCTGCCAGTCATCTCAGTCGGTCTGTCAGTCATCTCAGTCTATCAGTCATCTCTGTCAGTCATCTCAGTCTGTCAGTCATATCAGTCGGTCTGCCAGCCATCTCAGTCTGTCAGTCATCTCAGTCTGTCAGTCATCTCAGTCTGTCAGTCATCTCACTCTGTTAGTCATCTCAGTCTGTCAGTCATCTCAGTCTGTCAGTCATCTCAGTCTGTCAGTCATCTCAGTCTGTCAGTCATCTCAGTCTGTCAGTCATCTCTGTCAACTATCTCAGTCTGTCAGTCATCTCAGTCTGTCAGTCATCTCAGTCTGTCAGTCATCTCAGTCTGTCAGTCATCTCAGTCTGCCAGTCATCTCAGTCTGTCAGTCATCTCAGTCTGTCAGTCATCTCAGTCTGTCAGTCATCTCAGTCTGTCAGTCATCTCAGTCTGTCAGTCAGTCATCTCAGTCAGTCAGTCATCTCAGTCTGTCAGACATCTCAGTCTGTCAGTTATCTCAGTCTGTCAGTCATGTGTGGGTGTCTGTCTTAGTGTCTGTGTGTAGTGTGTGTGTCTTAGTGTCTATGTGTGTAGTGTGTGTCTTACTGTCTATGTATGTAGTGTGTGTGTCTGTCTTAGTGTCTATGTATGTAGTGTGTGTGTCTTAGTGTCTATGTGTGTAGTGTGTGTCTTAGTGTCTATGTGTGTAGTGTGTGTGTCTGTCTTAGTGTCTATGTGTGTAGTGTGTGGGTGTCTTAGTGTCTATGTGTGTAGTGTGTGTCTGTCATAGTGTCTGTGTGTGTAGTGTGTGTGTCTTAGTGTCTGTGTGTAGTCTGTGAGTGTCTTGGTGTCTATGTGTGTAGTGTGTGTGTGTCTTAGTGTCTATGTGTGTAGTGTGTGTGTGTCTTAGTGTCTATGTGTGTAGTGTGTGAGTGTCTTAGTGTCTATGTGTGTAGTGTGTGAGTGTCTTAGTGTCTATGTGTGTAGTGTGTGAGTGCCTTAGTGTCTATGTGTGTAGTGTGTGTGTGTCTTAGTGTCTATGTGTGTAGTGTGTGTGTCTTAGTGTCTATGTGTGTAGTGTGTGTGTCTTAGTGTCTATGTGTAGTGTGTGTGTGTCTTAGTGTCTATGTATGTAGTGTGTGTGTCTTAGTGTCTGTTTGTGGTGTGTTGGTGTCTGTCTTAGTATCTATTTGTGTAGTGTGTGTGTATCTGTAGGTAGGTGTTGTGTGTGTGGGTGTCTGGCTAGGCGTTGGTGTGTATGTGCCTACGTGTGGGTGAATTATTGTGCATCTTATTTCAACTGTATGTATGAGTTTGTGGTTGTGTGTGTAGGAATGTATATTGACGTGTGTCTATATCCGATTGGTTATGCCATTGTATGGTGACTGGGTGTGTGTTAAAATAGTTCTGTGTCAATGGATGCGCGCGCGCGTGTGTGTGTGGTATTACAGCAGTTCGCTACGAACCCCAGCGACTCGAGTTCGATTTCCGCTCACGGCCACCAACATCAGCGACGATTATCCGACCCAATATTGGGCTTCCCCGTAGGTCGACTCGGCCTCAAATGAGTACCCGCGTGGTGTGTAAACATGAGCACCGGGGAGACAAAGGCGGCCGGACCCAGTGCTAATCACACACCCCCTCGTTGTGCCGTGCCGTGCCGGCCTTAATAGCTGCTCGCTGACAGCACTTGGCCCAACAGTCTGTTCAGGCTATACGTGGGGAATCTTTGTATTTGCTTTGTATGTCGTCTGCGTGGGGAGCGGGTGCGCAGCGGTTAGCGCGCTGCACTGCGAACATGCATGCCGTACCATCCAAAAATCTGTGAATAACTATCAAAGGGGGGTGGGGGGGGCCTCTGTCGTTGTACACGTGCTGTCTGTAAATACAAGATCTGTGATTTGTACACGTGCTGTCTGTAAATACAAGATCTGTGATTTGTACACGTGCTGTCTGTAAATACAAGATCTGTGATTTGTACACGTGCTGTCTGCAAATACAAGATCTGTGATTTGTACACGTGCTGTCTGTAAATACAAGATCTGTGATTTGTACACGTGCTGTCTGTAAATACAAGATCTGTGATTTGTACATGTGCTGTGTGTAAATACAAGATCTGTGATTTGTACACGTGCTGTCTGTAAATACAAGATCTGGGATTTGTACATGTGCTGTCTGCAAATACAAGATCTGTGATTTGTACACGTGCTGTCTGTAAATACAAGATCTGTGATTTGTACACGTGCTGTCTGTAAATACAAGATCTGTGATTTGTACATGTGCTGTCTGCAAATACAAGATCTGTGATTTGTACACGTGCTGTCTGTAAATACAAGATCTGTGATTTGTACACGTGCTGTCTGTAAATACAAGATCTGTGATTTGTACACGTGCTGTCTGTAAATACAGGATCTGTGATTTGTACATGTGCTGTCTGCAAATACAAGATCTGTGATTTGTACACGTGCTGTCTGTAAATACAAGATCTGTGATTTGTACATGTGCTGTGTGTAAATACAAGATCTGTGATTTGTACATGTGCTGTCTGTAAATACAAGATCTGTGATTTGTACATGTGCTGTCTGTAAATACAAGATCTGTGATTTGTACATGTGCTGTGTGTAAATACAAGATCTGTGCAAATACATGTGCTGTCTGTAAATACAAGATCTGTGATTTGTACATGTGCTGTCTGTAAATACAAGATCTGTGATTTGTACACGTGGTGTCTGTAAATACAAGATCTGTGATTTGTACACGTGCTGTGTGTAAATACAAGATCTGTGATTTGTACATGTGCTGTCTGCAAATACAAGATCTGTGATTTGTACACGTGCTGTCTGTAAATACAAGATCTGTGATTTGTACACGTGCTGTCTGTAAATACAAGATCTTTGATTTGTACACGTGCTGTCTGTAAATACAGGATCTGTGATTTGTACATGTGCTGTCTGCAAATACAAGATCTGTGATTTGTACACGTGCTGTCTGTAAATACAAGATCTGTGATTTGTACATGTGCTGTCTGTAAATACAAGATCTGTGATTTGTACATGTGCTGTGTGTAAATACAAGATCTGTGCAAATGCATGTGCTGTCTGTAAATACAAGATCTGTGATTTGTACATGTGCTGTCTGTAAATACAAGATCTGTGATTTGTACACGTGGTGTCTGTAAATACAAGATCTGTGATTTGTACACGTGCTGTCTGTAAATACAAGATCTGTGATTTGTACACGTGCTGTCTGTAAATACAAGATCTGTGATTTGTACATGTGCTGTCTGCAAATACAAGATCTGTGATTTGTACACGTGCTGTCTGTAAATACAAGATCTGTGATTTGTACACGTGCTGTTTGTAAATACAGATCTGTGATTTGTACACGTGCTGTCTGTAAATACAAGATCTGTGATTTGTACATGTGCTGTCTGCAAATACAAGATCTGTGATTTGTACACGTGCTGTCTGTAAATACAAGATCTGTGATTTGTACATGTGCTGTGTGTAAATACAAGATCTGTGATTTGTACATGTGCTGTCTGTAAATACAAGATCTGTGATTTGTACACGTGCTGTCTGCAAATACAAGATCTGTGATTTGTACACGTGCTGTCTGTAAATACAAGATCTGTGATTTGTACATGTGCTGTGTGTAAATACAAGATCTGTGATTTGTGCATGTGCTGTCTGTAAATACAAGATCTGTGATTTGTACACGTGCTGTCTGTAAATACAAGATCTGTGATTTGTACATGTGCTATCTGCAAATACAAGATCTGTGATTTGTACACGTGCTGTCTGTAAATACAAGATCTGTGATTTGTACATGTGCTGTGTGTAAATACAAGATCTGTGCAAATACATGTGCTGTCTGTAAATACAAGATCTGTGATTTGTACATGTGCTGTCTGTAAATACAAGATCTGTTATTTGTACACGTGCTGTCTGTAAATACAAGATCTGTGATTTGTACACGTGCTGTCTGTAAATACAAGATCTGTGATTTGTACACGTGCTGTCTGTAAATACAAGATCAGTGATTTGTACACGTGCTCTCTGTAAATACAAGATCTGTGATTTGTACATGTGCTGTCTGTAAATACAAGCTCTGTGATTTGTACACGTGCTGTCTGTAAATACAAGATCTGTGATTTGTACACGTGCTGTCTGTAAATACAAGATCTGTGATTTGTACACGTGCTGTCTGTAAATACAAGATCAGTGATTTGTACACGTGCTCTCTGTAAATACAAGATCTGTGATTTGTACACGTGCTGTCTGTAAATACAAGATCTGTGATTTGTACACGTGCTGTCTGTAAATACAAGATCTGTGATTTGTACACGTGCTGTCTGTAAATACAAGATCTGTGATTTGTACACGTGCTGTCTGTAAATACAAGATCTGTGATTTGTACATGTGCTGTCTGTAAATACAAGAACTGTGCTTTGTACCCAAACCCTGTTGTGTTGATCTTGTGTGGATGTTGCGTACCCTCTGTACGCTTGGCGTTGACTGCGCAATTGTGCCCCTCGTCTGTCATCTGAGCGTAGTGGAAGTCACGATGGGTGGTGCTGAGCAAGCCCTCTCCTGTGGCAGGTGAGACGCACGCAAACACGCGGTGGAGTGGCATGGCCATCGTGCGTGCAGGAGCTGCACCTGGGTCCCCCAGGCCGGAGGGGGGGTATGAAGCAGGTGTGGATGCTCGAGGGGGGGGGGGGGCATTGGACAGGTACCCCCCCCCCCCCCCATTTAATTCAAAGATTCTTCGTATAACCTGAACGGACTTTTTCGGCAAGTGCCGTTAGCGAACACCTCTGTGAAGGCCGGCACGGCACATGAGTGGCTGGGTGGCCAACACGACGACCGGCCGGATTTGCCTCCCTCTTGGTACACCGTGCCGGTACTCATTTGAGGCTGAGTCGACCTAGGCGAGGCTCGGGACGCGTTCAAATATGAGCCGCTGTTGTCGGTCGCGAGCGGGACTCGGGAAGGCGGGTGGGCCTGTTTTGTAGCGCGGCACGCTAAACAATGCGCCACCGCTCCCCATGCACGCAGGCACGCGCACTGACACACGCGTACACGCACATACACAGGTACAGACACGGACGCCCAGTATTAGATCACTCTGTGGCAGTCGAACTAAGACCCCCCTCGCTGTGCGTCGGGTCAACGTTTTCCAGTGGCTCCGCGTGTGTATTCATTTCTGCTGATGCGCGGTCACGCACAGATTCCGACACACACACACACGCACATACAGACAAACAGCACGTGTACATGCATGCGTACGCGCAGACTTGCTCACGGAGATACACGCCAGACAAATTGGTTCGTCCATACTCTCTCGCATACAAAAAAAAAGTCCCCCTTGTAGCCTTAACAGACGGTCGGGGCAAGTGCTGTTAGCGAGCACCTATGAAGGCCGGCACTGGCACACGTGGGGGTAAGTTGGCCAGCACCACGCCCGGCCCGCCTTTGTCTCCTGGGTGCTGACCAAAGGGAGGCCCCAGGACCAGTTCAGATAGTCGGCATTGGTGTTGGCCGTGAGCGGGAATCGAACTCGGGTCAGCAGGTCCGAAGTGGGGCGCGCTAACCACTGCGCCACCGCTCCCCACACACGGACACACGGACACACGCAGGCGCGCACACGCACACAGGCACCCGGTATTAGATCGCACTGCGGCAGCACCAGTCATAGCTAAGACCCCCAGCCGTGCGTCAGGTCAACACTTTCCAGTGACTCCCTGCGTGTATTCATATCTGCCGATGCCCAGAATGTTCCCCACCCACCCCAGCGTGCACCGGACACAGCCAGAAGACCCGGAGGCTCGGGATGAATCAAGGGCCTCATTAAGAGATTGCCCACGAGCGGCCCCTTAATTGCTCCAAGCTGATTAACACCCAGCATGCCAGGAATCGATGCTCCGGAGCGTCTGGGGACAGTGATGCAACAGGGAGATGTGAGAGTGAGTGTGTGTGTGTGTGTGCGCGCGCCTGAGTCATTTTGACCGACTTTGACAATGAAGATGGATGTTGCTCCTGCGGTGGAACGGTTCGGCGCGGGACGCTCCGGACTCGCGTTGCAGAGGTCGACGGTTCGATTCGATTTCCCGGCGTGGCAGTTGAAACGATGGGGCTAACGTTTCTTGAATTGCCCCTTCTGTACCGCACTATGCACCCAGGAGTTTAAATGGGTACACCGCATGTTCTTCTCTATAGCCCGTCATCCTGCTACTGCCACTCCCTGCCCCCCAGCTACGACCAAGCCTATCCCAACCCCTATCACTACCTCTATCACTACCTCTATCACTACCCTTATCACTACCCCAACCCCTATCACTACCTCTATCACTACCCTTATCACTACCCCAACCCCTATCACTACCTCTATCACTACCCTTATCACTACCCCAACCCCTATCACTACCTCTACCCATATTACCACCCTTATCACTACCTCTATCACTACCAATATCACTACCTCAACCCCTATGACTACCCCTATCACTACCCTAACCCCTATCGCGACCGCTATCACTACCCCAACCCCTATCGCGACCGCTATCACTACCCCAACCCCTATCACTACCGCAACCACTATCACTACCCCAACCCCTATCACTACCCCAACCCCTATCACTACCCCAACCCCTACCACTACCCCTACCACTACCATTACCCCTATCACTACCCCAACCCCTACCACTACCCCTATCACTACCCCAACCCCTATCACTACCACTACCCCTATCACTACCCCAACCCTATCACTACCTCTACCACTACCCCAACCCCTATCACTACCCTTATCAGTACCCCAACCTATATCACTACCCCAACCCCTATCACTACCCCAACCCATATCACTACCCCAACCCCTATCACTACCTCTACCACTACCCCAACCCCTATCACTACCCCTATCAGTACCCCAACCCCTATGACTACCCCAACCCCTATCACTACCCCTATCACTACCCCTATCACTACCCCTATCACTACCCCTATCAGTACCCCAACCCCTATCACTACCCCAACCCCTATCACTACCTCTACCACTACCCCAACCCCTATCACTACCCCAACCCCTATCACTACCCCTATCACTACCCCAACCCCTATCACTACCCCAACCCCTATCACTACCCCTATCACTACCCCAACCCCTATCACTACCCCAACCCCTATCACTACCTCTACCACTACCCCAACCCCTATGACTACCCCTATCACTACCCTAACCCCTATCGCGACCGCTATCACTACCCCAACCCCTATCACTACCGCAACCACTATCACTACCCCAACCCCTATCACTACCCCAACCCCTATCACTACCCCAACCCCTACCACTACCCCAACCCCTACCACTACCATTACCCCTTTCACTACCCCAACCCCTACCACTACCCCTATCACTACCCCAACACCCTATCACTACCCCAACCCCTATCACTACCACTACCCCTATCACTACCCCAACCCTATCACTACCTCTACCACTACCCCAACCCCTATCACTACCCTTATCAGTACCCCAACCTATATCACTACCCCAACCCCTATCACTACCCCAACCCATATCACTACCCCAACCCCTATCACTACATCTACCACTACCCCAACCCCTATCACTACCCCTATCAGTACCCCAACCCCTATCACTACCCCAACCCCTATCACTACCCCTATCACTACCCCTATCACTACCCCTATCAGTACCCCAACCCCTATCACTACCCCAACCCCTATCACTACCTCTACCACTACCCCAACCCCTATCACTACCCCTATCACTACCCCAACCCCTATCATTACCCCTATCACTACCCCAACCCCTATCACTACCCCAACCCCTATCACTACCCCAACCCCTATCACTACCCCAACCCCTCCTTGACCTCTCCCAACTGCCACCATAACGACACCACCACTTTCAATAACCTCGCTCTTTATCATCTCAACCACTAACATCATCTCGTGTACAACTTTATAATTGCTATAAAGTGCCTTGGAGCAAAGCGCTGGTATATAAACCTCTATAAGATGAGTAAAGTTTATTGGCAGGTCGTGTGTGGTGGTGTAGTTTGTGGGTACTCCCATTTCTTCTGAGACGTTTGACCAGCTTGGGACATGAGTCTAAGGGAGGCTTTCGTCCAGCAGTGAAACATTTAAAAACTAAATTATTTTTTGTTCTACCAGGTAAGGCCCGCTGAACTATATAACTGTTTTTCAGAAGCAACCTAGCCATCTGGCTACCATGAGAGATTCGTTCATGAGGCTATCCACATATACAAACACAGACAATTTCAACCGAGAAGATGGATTCTGGCTTAGCAATCATTGGAAGGATTTGATAAACCATTTCAGGTCTTAATTGATTATTCACGCTTACGGTGGCTTTCAGACCGCATCCATTATTTTCGTCTCCCCCCTCTTTTCCGAACATAGATGGACTCGTCCATCTGAACAAACTATCAAATCGCTCTCCATGGTGCTAACGTTAAGATTAACCGCCACTTTTTTCAAATGTTCTTGTTGTGGTTTTCACACCTGATGATGATTGCTTCTGTTGCAGTCGAAACGTCGTGAGAATTTTATTGTTTTATATTTTTATTATTTTATTGTTTCCCTTCTACGTGACTTTACCGAAAGAACCAAGAATATCAGTGAAGTGGCTTGAATTTTTAGCAGCTAAATTCTCCAAATGCACATTGATTCTAAATGTGGAGGGAAAACCCGGAGGACCCGGAGAAAAATCCCCGCGACTACGGGAAGAGAGAAACGCAAACTCCAAATATACAGGCGTCAGGGTCGGGATCGAACCCACGACCTCCTGCATACCCGGCGAGGTAGTTAACATCTCCTAGCCACCGTGACATGACCTGCCAGAGACTCTGTCAGCTGTTCTACACAGGCGGCTGTGTTTCTCATCTCAGCTCAACGTGACACGAGATGATTTGGCCCTCCAGCCCAGCCGCAATTTGTTTTATTTTCATTACACTCTTTAATTTAACTCGCTGTCTGTTGTTGTTGTAGCCTCAAATATTGGAACTAAATTTAAACCCACTTCCCAATGTGGTATCGACTGCAAACTTGGTATACTTATGTCATACTGATGACAATACTATATTCTATCACAAACAATATTTTTCAAACGTTCTTTTTTAAATGTTATGTTTCGGCTTGGGTCTAATTGTCCACGCTCAACTGACGTTGCCTGTAAATCACCACGGTCCCCTTACGTTGTGGCAAGCTTCGCGGCCACTTCCTGGAGCCGTGGAGTTCAGCCATTACGAGCACGGTACATTTCATTAAAGCGTGTTTGAAAAAAAAAAAAAAAGTATACTACTTATTTCCTAACATCTCGCCACCGCGGTGGCGCCCCGTCCGCGATGCCGTCGCAGACTGCCTGATGCTGCTCGCGTTCAAGAGCCGCTCCGAGTGGCTCAAGGGCGCGCGGCCGAGGAGCTGCGCTCGCCTCCAGGATGTGTGCGCGGTGAGCACTGGGCTGGCGCTGCACAGCGCCGCTCACGTCCTCGCCGTCAGCTGCCCCTCGCTCTGCCTGCTGCTCGCCTTCGAGCGTCGCGACGTCATGAGCGCCTGGGACGCCCGGCTGCGCTACAGCCTGGGAGAGGGTGAGACGGCCTCGGGGGGGGGGGGGGGGGGGGGGGCCGGGGGTGAAGCCGGCGGGCTGGCGCTGGCGCGGGCGGCGTAGGGGGAGGTCGATTCTCGCTCACGGTCAACACCGGTGGCGATTATCTGAACCCGTTTCGGGCCTCCCATAGGTCTACTCGGTCTCGTCTAAGTGCCTGGTGCGATGTGTGAACATCGCCACTTTGGGAGACAAAGGCGGCGGGGCGTGGTGCTGGCTACCCACCCCCTCGTGTGCTGTGCCGGCCTTCATAGGCGTTCGCTAACAGCACTTGCCCCAGCAGTCTGTTTAGACTAGGGCTGGGATCTTTGTGTGGGTGGGTTAGCTGCCGATAGCGTTGCCACCCTCTTGAGACATGAGAAGAAAACGTAGGGGGGGGGTGGGGGGGGGGGGGTTTATATCCATCGCGCGAAGTAGAACCGTCTCAACGGGTTAATGACGACAAGTGAGCGGGCTGTAGGCCGAAGGCGTCAATAGAAGGGGGCGATTGCTCGACGGTCAAGAATGACGAGGTGGTGGCGGGGCAAGGAATGGAACTCGTCTGAGAGGATGTCCACCGTGGAGGAATCCGTTCGCGTGCAGCTGCTGCGTGACTTGGCGCGTCGCGGGCTCGTGAGAGGTGGCGGGCGGTTTGACCATGGCTGACGACGGTGGTGGTGACCTGCAGAGGGGAGAGCCGTGCGTGAATGAGTCATCCTGGGTGCTTGTATCGTCGTTGCACAAACCGGCACTCCTAACCCTCCCCCGTTCCGATGACGTACGCGTGCTTGTACATCATCGGAACGGAACTGGAAGAAAAACTCAAATAAAATGGCTTCGTGAGTACCAAGGATTCCTAAAGGCCGCGTGGGAGGGCTGTCTGGTGCACTTTGTCGCCAGCTGTCATAGAGTGGCAGTCGTGTCGCTGCGTTTCTCTGCGGTGAGAACAATGTCTTTGAAAACAGCGGCGCTACTACGCCTCTCGAGAAAAAAGTTGACGCCAACCGGCCGCGCGGTCCGAGATTCAGCAGTGAACGGGGCACCCCCCCCCCGCCCCACCCTTAACTCGCAGTCGTCTCGGAATGACGGGAAAGGGTTAATGTCCCAGGAAGACTTGCAGACTTCCCAGGTACGAGTCGCTACCAGCCGGGGAAATCCAAGATCCGGTGGGCAACCGGAGCTCCGCGCGGTCCCCGTGCCGTCAGCCTCTCCCCGCGCGACTCCTAAATCCACCGCTTTTTCACCCCCCTCCGGCCCTCCCACCCGAGCAGCGCACAGCTTCGCGGTGACGCTGGCGCCCGGCAGCCGCCTGGAGGAGGGCCCCGGCACCCTGCACTGCGTGAACCAGACGTGCGCGCTCACGCGGGGCGCGCCACCCCGCCTGCTGGCGCGATGGAAGCTGCCGGAGCTGCGGCGCTACGGCGCCGTGCCGGGCGGGTTCGTCTTCGAGGCGGGGTCCCGGTGCGGCGCAGGTGACGCGGGACGTCGCCGGGGGCGCCCTCTCTCGTCACGCCGATCCGGGGGTTAACGCCGAGGCTGACCGCGTGCCGCGGTGGTTTTTTGGGAACGGCTCTCCCGGTGCCTCCGTGAAGCGTTTGAACATTTTTTTCTGGCTTCACGCTCGAGCAGTGGGCGGGGCACCCTGAGCGGTGGGCGGGGCTACCTGAACAGTGGGCGGAGCTA